TAATTGCACACGTAATCAACCAGCAGGGCTGAGGTTTCCAGGAGGGTCTGTTCGAGGGCAGGCAGATATCTGGGCTACGCTGCCGTGCTGGGAACTGGGTCAGGTCTGGCTCGCACTGAGACGGCGCTCAGTGCCGAGCAGGACGCGAGGTCGGCCGGTCCTGCTGCGCCGCGCACCGCGGGGTGGGAGAGCGGGGTGGTCCACACGGTGTCCCTCCGCGCTGCGGCTCCTCAGCGTGGGGTGGTTCTGCATTGCGAGGCGAGGAACCAGACAGAGACCAAAAGATTAATTGCTGCGGGAAACCTGTGTGTTCTGATTCGTGTCTACCTCAGCGGTGCTTTGGTAAAGGACCAACCTACCATGTATGCCATTGTTTTGAAGAAAAAAGCAGAAATTATCAAAGGCGTGGTAATGGGTAACATGCTAATTTGTGTCCCAGGCAGAATAGCAGGATGCTGTCTGTGGCGTGGGTCAAGTGGTCTGTGTTGCTCCTTTCCACTTGAGATTGCAATACAGCAAACTTTCTTTTTTTCTGTATTTCGCAGCACCTGAAATGTTTAACTCCACAAAACCCACCGCCTATTCCTTTGCTGTGGACTGGTGGTCGCTGGGAATCACCGCCTACGAGCTGCTCAGGACCCGGGTACGGTGCGCGCGGCTCCTGTCAGTCCGTCCATCTCTTGCCCTGAACGCTGTTGGAAGGGTTAATGCTCTATAACAGGGATGAAAGGGCTGAGCCAAATTCAAGGCCTTAAGGGTTATTCCGGCACAGGAAGCAGAAACCTCATCTTCACCAGGGTTCTTGTGTCACAGCTAAGAGCTCGAAGAGAAACTGTCGCAATACAGAATAGCACGTCGCGACAGTTCCCCGCTGCGCCCGGGGGCCTCTGGGTTGGCGTAAGCCGGGCAGGGCTGTTGCTGTTGTGATAAGACTGAGCAGTTTGAGCAAAAGCAAATCGCAATGTGTAAATTATTAATAAAGCACAATCCCTGCCTGTCACATCGGTGTTCTGCTGCGAAAGCAGGTAAGGTTGGGGGCCTTGTAGACAGACGGTCAGATTAGTGTTTTGGAAGTGTTATGCAAAAAAGTGGGACAAAATTATTTAAACTACATTCAGCTAGCAAAAGGTTGTTTAAAATCTTGTGAGGCTAGGAAACGTCTTCTTTCAGTGCAAGTATGCAAAACACATTTTTAAGAAACTCTATCATCAATCTTTGCAGGATACCTAAAAAAATGTTTTGTTGGATGTATTTTAACGAACAGATTTTCAAATGAATTTGAGTGTTTCAAATTGTGAGCCATCAAGTTAATACACATTACAGGGACACGGTTTTCAACCTGTTGGGTAACTGAAGCCATGTGCCCCCTGTAAGCATATTAATATAATAGTTGAGTTTTCCATTTGTAATGTTAAATGAATTGCAGGACTGGTCATCACATTGACTTTTGGCGTGATGGCTTTCGTTCCAAAGATGGGAGTAGAAATGCTGTTAGGTGTTCAGACCAGACGGCACAGCCATGGTAAGATGGCGGCACCAGCGGTGGTCACGGCATGGGGGAAGTGACCCATGGACCCATGGACCTTGAGGTCCATCTACTGTTGGTACATGTTAAGCACAGTGCACCTGATTGGATTTGACCTTTTTTAGGTACTATTTTCTAAATCTACCTCACCCCCCTAAAATACCGTAAAAATCTGGGAGTCAAAAATCTTTCAAAATGGAAACACTCTGCCATTGCATATTCTCTTTCAAAGCAAGGCAGTAGTGTTGTTGTAGTTGGGAGTTAAACGTGGGGGTGACTTCACCTGGCCAGTAACACCGGCTGTGCGTGGCCCATCGTCCCAGACTGAGCTCCCCAGTGCTCAGCGGGCGCCGCTCCTGCGGTGGGACGTTGGGCATGGGGCAGAAGGGACGGGTCATCCGGACCGTGGTGTCACACCCGGGACCTGTAACCCTTCCCAGAACATCATTTTTTCAGCTAATTTAATAGGTGGGAGAAATCTTGCTCCTTCTTGTGTCATCTCCAACATGAGCAAAGAACTGAAGGCAGGAGCATGTTTTACAGTGAACATTGGGAATGCTCTAACCACAGCACTATACATATAAAATCCTTTTTCGTAGCCCTTTAAGATACAACTATTGAAAAGACCAAGCAAACACAAGGTGGCTAATGACTCTAACTTTTGGGGTTTGCCTCCTATCTGTCATGCTGTTTAAACACCTGGTTATTACCATTGTTCTTGCTGACATTATTATTTTGTTTATTTCAACTGAGCTACAATCACACGGGGAGAGGCTTTCAGCGGGAGCCTGGGGGGCAAACAAAGAGACTTTCTTTGGAGCTTCTTTGTTCTAAAAAGATTTCCCAAGGAGTCTGAAAAAACAGATATACGTTAAAATGCTTTCCTTGTGGCATTTTTCACAGAGGCCGTATCATATTCGCGCCAACACTTCCACACATGAAATCGCTCACGTGTTCAAGACAGCTACAGTGATGTACCCCGCTGCTTGGTCCACAGAGATGGTGTCGCTGATCAAAAAGGTGAGGGCAGCGTGGAAGCGGTTGGCGTACGGGCTGACCTTCAGATGGCACCATATGGTAAATAATCCACTTCTGATGTTGTAGCCACAAGGATGTGGTGACCAGCAGTACCGCGTCCTGGAGTGAGGGGGATGCAGCTTCTGTTGGCAAGTGCAGCAGCTGCTAATGCAGCTCTTCCAAGGACACGTGCAGTCTTTGCTTCCAGAGTTTCTCCTGTGACTTTGTCTCTCTGCAATGACGTAACTTAGAAGTAGATATTAATGTATGTGGCAAAAAATTTGGCAAAAATAATGCATAATTTTCTTTTATTTCTAAAAAGCCATTTTTCCCAATAACGAAAAGATTTGTAAGAAGTGCTGAGCCATTGAAGTCCTTTGATGCCATGAGGTTTATGCACCACCTTAATTCTTTTTTTAATAAAGCCATTATCAAAATTCCTTCAAAGTCATTACTATATCTTCTATAGCTATAGCTTCAATAAACGAAGCCGTTGCTTGAGAGTGTCAGAGAGTGTTTGCATACAGCGGCAGCAAAGCTGAAATACTGAACCCTGCCTAACACCACTAGCTGCAAATTTTGGAAAGTATGTAAATAGCTTTCTAATTTTCAAGTAAGCATAGGCAGTAAAGTACTACCTAATGTAGCTTTCATCTTTTTTTTTTGTTCCAGATAGTATATAGAAGTATTTTGTCCTCTCTACTGACATACTCTCAAACTTTTTAATGAAAATGAGACATCAGTTCTTTGCTGAGACAGAATCATGGCATATTTTCCAAGAAGAAAATTGAAGACTATTTCCATTTGCTTAAAATTAAATGGAGCTAATATTCCATTAAGCCTAACAGTAATATAGGGATATTTACTGCAGATGTCCTCTGTGTTGTTATGTTAGAAGTCTTTCCCTGGACCACAACATGCCGCAAGCCATATAGGCTCCCTAGTGAATAAATAATGCAATATCACAACTATTTAAATTTCCAAGTGCCCCTTTGCATCTGGTTTAACAGCCGTATCTATTATGGATGAGGCCAACTGTGGTTCTGCCCTGGCTCAAACATCTCCTGTGACTTTCTGTATTTATTAACATTCAATGCAAACAGTCGTTCGTGGCAGAGCCCCGTCGCTGCCATTAGGACGGGCGCACGGAGCCGGGCAGAGGGAAGGGGCTGCGTGGGGCGTCTCTGTACTGCTCACCCTGCACGGCCCTCGCTGCCCACACCCGCCGGACCGGGGCTGCTGGGGCTCACCGCGTCCACCCCTTGCATGGGGTTTGCATCGCCCGTTTTCCTGCTAGGTTTTCGGAGTACATCAGGAGCTTCTGCAATGTTGAGTCCTTGAAAGTCAGAGACAAACCTCAGCCATTTCCTCTACACAAGTAACTCCTACAGCGATGTTAAAAAACACTGAAAATAAGCAGTGTGAATCCATTATTTCACACTGGAATTATATTTAGGAATATTCCATTACTAGAGTGAGAAAACAGGGGATGTTTTACTGATACGGTATTAAATTGGGGACACAAAGGCATGACTTTAACTCCCCGTTCTGAAACAAACGCTTATTTTTAACCTTGGACAAATTGTTTGATGTCTGTGTTTGATCGCCTGCTCCTAACCTGAGGATGAGAGTTGTTCATAAAAATGAGAATAAATAGATTTAAAGACTGTGAGCCCCTCGCGTACGCTGGTGAAGTGAATCTGAGCTGGGGCAACAGCAGAGAGGCACCAGCACGATGTGTCCGTGTTCATGCAGTGCCACTGGCGTTGCGTGTCCCCGGCCCCGGTCAGCGCTGTGTCCCACCCGTGGGGACGGGGGATGGCGTGGGGCGTCCCCGGGATGCCTCCTCGAGCCCCAGCCGTGACAGAGGCTGTGGTGTCTCCAGTGGCTGCTCCGTGTCGCAGGGTGAGGCACGGCTGACCCTGCGGTCCAGCCCAAACTGGAAACCTGCATCAGCCTCGTGCTTAACCCTGGCGCTGAGGACAGGCAGTGCTGCCCTGGAGCACCAGCCCTGGGGGCTCTGTAGCTGCGTGCCATCACCGCAGCCCTCGGAGTTCCCGGCTCCTCTGGCCATCCCACCTGCCACAGGCAAAACTGGCTCCTTTTCGAAAAGCGGCTGCTGAGAGACGCGCGCTCAGAAGTCTGGTGGCCGTGTCCCTGCCCCAGCCGTCACCTACTGTAACCGTGCCACAGACACATCTGTGTGCTCCTCAGCTCTGATTTCACCTCACAGTGTCTCACTTTTGCACCTCTTCCATTTAACTCTCATTGCAGTTGCTCGAGCCAAACCCCGAGAAGCGTTTTTCTCAGCTGAAAGATATCCAGGACTTTCCGTATCTGTCAGATGTGAACTGGGATGCTGTTCTCCAGAAAAGGATAATACCGGAATTCATTCCCACAGTAAGGCAGTTTGATTTTAAAAGGTTCTCGATGTGCCCGAGCGTTACACGCTGCAGCCTCCCCCCACCCCAGGCACCAGATCATGGGAAGTTCTTACAAATTTCCACAAGAGCATCAGATATAAAGGACAGGGGAACAGAGAGGCGAGAGGAAAATTTTCACTTTCCTGTGGGTGTAATAAAGAGTAATGGGGGATGACTACAAAGCGTGGGTGCCCTAAAATTGATCTGCTCTGTTTACAATATTGCCAGAATTTCTAGATGCAGAACTGGTCTTACCCGCTCCGGACTGTCGGTGGCACGGTAGATGGAACAGACACTGACAGTGCCCGTGAGCTGTCCTGCGCTGGACTGTGTTTCTTAGCAGCCCTGCTTAGGACTAACTAGCTCCTCAAATGCAAAAGCCAATGGACAGACATCGGTTCATTAGCAGTCTGGCGATCACCTGCCATTATATGATAATTGTTTCTTCCTGTAATTACTCTCCCTAACAAGACCATTGATCATAGTGAAATAACAAATACAATAGATCAGTGTTTCTGATCCTGTTTTAATTGGATTAAAGCAGCACAGAAGTAACATAACCCTTACGGAAAATAATCCAAGGACTGTTGTGCACAGTGTTACTCTAACTGTTTTTCAGCCAAACAAAGGTTGGGCTAAATGATGAATATTTGTTAGTTGTATGTATTCCCCCCCCCTCCGTTGCTGGTTTTCCCTGCGGTGGGTGCACAGTGTACTGCTTTAAAACCAGTTTCGTGGGCTGCTGTGCGCCCCCCAGCAGAGGCACAGCTCAGCCGAGGCACACCGTCACACCGTCCTCGCCATCACGTCCAAGCAGCCAAAGCGCTGAGTAGAGACAGTGAGCACAGAAAGAGCGAATGTCACACCTTGACATGTCCCCTGGCTGAGGGAGCTGATCAGATACGTAAGAAGTGCGGCAGGCGTGCTGGCTGTGTGTGCAGTTGTAATTATTTTTTACAAAATTCAGCTCCCAGATGCGGCCCAGTTTATGAGAGACTCTTCAAGACAGGCTCTGATCACTCAAGGCCACCTCTCTCTCCCCCCCAGAAAGGTAGACTGAACTGTGACCCGGCCTTTGAACTGGAAGAAATGATCCTAGAATCCAAACCGCTTCACAAGAAAAAGAAGCGCTTGGCCAAGAAGGAGAAAGACACCAGAAAAAGCAATTCCTCCCAGGTGAGAGCAAGCAGATTTTTCCCGTGTGACCAATTTTATTCCCAAGACTCTCCCTTGGTGAAAGGCAGCATATATACACACTGGGTTTGCGTGAGAGGAGATGCCCTCTCCTTTTTTTGTGTTCTGTGTGAGGAGCATCTTAATGCCTTTCTCTGCACTGCAGTGCTAAAGATGCTCTATACCTAAAGATATCTCCATATTGCCTTGAAATTGTCCTTGTGATGTCTTCCTGTGTCAGCTGTGAAGGTTGGACTAGATGACCTTTAAAGGTCCCTTCCAACCTCAACTATTCTATCGTTCTATGATTCTATGATCTCTTTATTTTTCTATTTGAATGTGAAAGGCCTGCCACCTTCAAAAGCACCTAGAGATGCTCCAGAGGGACTTCATTGTTTTCAACAGAGAAAAGTAAGTCCTGGTACAGAGGCAGCATCGGAGACTCTGGCTTTTGACAGATGTGGGGTTTGGGCCACCTTGGCAAACGCTGCAGGTGGGGCTTTAGGAGCTCACTGAGAAGGCAGTTGAGGAGAGCAGGTATGGTGAATGCTGGCCGACCTGTCATCTGCCGGGGACCGATGCGGCATTTCTGTTCTTGAGGTGGAGGGCTGGGCCCACAGCACGAGCCATGGTCATTGCCCGGTTTGTGCAGACAGATTGTTACCGTGGGGACTCAGGGCTGTGGGGGCTCAGGGCAGCCCCTGCGGGGCGAGTGACAGCTCATGCCAGGGATTGGGATGGTCCCAGGTAGCTGCGTGGACCTCGGCGCTGCCTGGGCTGTCCCTCACAGCTTGACTGTCCCTTTCTCTCCTGAAGAGTGAGACATCTCCACAACGACACCCAGGAGACCGTAACACTGGCAAAAAGCAGAGGCGCGTACAAGGAGGACAAACAGAACAACAACCTCTGAGAGCAGCACAGCCCCTGCTGGACCTTTCCTTGTGGGGACAGTGCCCACCCACCCACCTTCATGACACCGGGCCATCGGACTTGTCCCCTGCTGCCGGGATGCTGCTGGCAGCCCAGGGCCGGGGCACCCGCTCCCTCTGCTTCCACCCCACCGCCTGGGCGTGGGGGGAGAGGCTGTGGGTCCTGCCTCCGCAATTTGCCGCAGTCCGTTAGACTTGGGTCCTATTATTTTGCCTTTCTTGCTGGCAGGAATGTGACTGTGTGAAAACAGATGAGCCACTCGGTATTCACCCTTTCGGCTTGGCTAGCCCCCATCGCGGCCCGCGGTGCTGCCTGCCAGCGGCGTAACCGAAGGGTTGAGTGTGCAGCGTTCGTAGAGGTGTCATCACTAATATCGCTGCTGGTGGTGGGTCTGTGACAGCGCTGTCGGTCCGGGCTCTGTGGAGGTCGGGCCTCCCGCAGGGGCGCACAGGTGATGGCTCTGGCTGGAAGAGGCTGCTATCGGCTGCAGCATCTCCACCAGTGCACAGTGACAAAGGTGGCCTTTGCTTACAAAGGTGGCCTCCTGCAAACGTCCCGTGAGCGTGGGCACAGAGGGCTGGAAGTGGCAATGGTCTCCTTCCTTAGCTGGGAGGAGCCGCAGAGGCTTCCCATCCGGTCCTCCTCTCCGTGATGGCTCCTGGACGCGGTGGGTGGTGGGTGCTCAGAGCATGCAGACAGACATGGAAATGAAGAGGTAACAACCGGGCACTGGCGAATAACCAGCACCCAGATGCTTTTCCAGGTCAGCCTGAAAAACCCATTCACCATCACATTAAACTGCTGCTACTCACTGAGTCTGATGGGGTTTGGCTTCCAACATCAGAGGTAAATTCAAATGTGTATTTTTAATTGCTCTACCATTTAAGCAGCTACTGTTTGCAGCAACAGCCGTACTCTGTCACGGTCTTTGTCAAGACTGAGGTTGGCCAAAGCATCTCTATTACGGTAATGCTGGGAATGATGTTATTATTTAAACGCTTTGGCAGACCTGATGTTTCACCTCCTTATTTGACATTTTTCCTATTCTCAGCAATATGATGAATGCATGATGAACCATTTGTCCAAAGGTGTTCTCTGTATCCCCTGTGCCTTCCTGTCTTTCTCTCTGGCTAACTCAGATCAACTCAAAAAAAGGCTGAATAAAACCAACAGTAAATGAAAGGCTCCTTCCCAGATGCGCGAAAGTCCATGTTACTTCTGAGGTCACTTGTGTAGCGAGGCAGAATGGGTGTTCCTCCTGCCTAGAGCCAACTAGGACTTTACTGGACTCAGTTTAAATCTGCTTTTCCTCTGCTGGAGACTTTCAGACAACCTCTGCCATGGAGCTGTGGATTCAGTCCATTACTGACACAGCAAAAAGATCAGGTTGTGTGCAGTACACTTCCCAGTGGTCTTCATAGCTGCTTCAGATAGACTGACACAGGAATAATCCCTCTCTCCGTGATCTGCTGATGGCTGGTGGGTTTGCTTTGGGAAATGTGTGGTTTATGCATGTGCACGGGCCATCAGCCATCCCTGCAGCTGTTGGGAGAGCAGTGTCTCCGTCTCCCCGAGCCTGCCTGAATCCAGGGCAGGGGATGGCCCGTCCGAGCAACCAATGAGAGTGTCCTGCCCGTCCACCTCTGCGGGGGCATGTACCGGGCATACTGGCACGGAGCAGCTCCGTCATAGTTTGCCTAAAAATAAGTTTTAGGTAGGTGTTTTCCACTTTCTGGTCCCTCCTACAACGGTGGTGGTGTCCCACCACCAGCTGGTCCCTAGCGTGTGCCTTCGCTGTAAGAGCGGGTTTTAAGAGCCTTCCTGCGGATTGCGATAGATACCAGGTCTCCCCCTGTGCTGGCTGTGTCTCTTGGGGGATGCAGCAGAGCACATCTCTGCCACCATCTCTGCTGCAGAAAGGCCGAGCAGGGCAGTCCCGCATGGTCTCGACAGGTCTGTACAGGTTCCCATCTGGGCCCTCTCCCACCACTGCTGGGGGCCAGATTCTCCGGGCAGTCTGTGCTGAGAGAGCTCTGGTGTTTGTCTCTGAGCATCCACCCTGACGGCTCTGGGGACAGGAGCTGCACTGCTCTCACCCATCCGGATTTTATTTTGCAGTGATTTCTAACAGAGATGTGAGTGGCACCAAATGCAGTTGTAGGTCCCGGTATCTTTGTTAACAGGTAGGGCACAGGGAGGATGCTGGCACCGCACTGCGAGCACCTCCTCCATTCGCGCTGCGCAGCTGGCACGCGTGCGGCTGGCACAGGGATTGATGCACTGCAGCACCACCACCTTCTTCCACACGCTGTGCCTGGTAGCCTGGTTTTGTTTGCTCAGGTCGGGCTGCTGGCACAGTTGCAGCACAGTGTGTGCAGGGCTGCGGAGCCAGGGCAGCAGCATCGCTGCATGGTAACAACCCACTGGGAAACCTTCACCCTTCTCTGTCCAGGGAGCCGCAAAGCTGAAGTGGAATTAATTCACCAGTAAGTGGTTATCGGAGTCCTCAAAGGAGGTCATGGCAATGGGAAAGCCACCTTCTCCTGCTAAATTACAGCTCATCTAAATTAGTATCGCTGTGTTCTTCTCCCCTTCCCCAGCTGTCCCTGCTTTCTAGCAGTAACACTGCTGAGCGGGGTGGGGGTCTCCGTGTCCCTCTGCCCTCAGACGTGTCACTCCCAGAGAGGCTACCCAGAGCCCTGGCAGCGCTTTCCATCGATCCTCTGTTCTCTGCCCACTCCCACCCCGGATCTGGGGCCAGGCGGGGTCCAGAGGGACTGTCCCAAGAGCAGTCCCTGTCCCTGCACTGTGCACAGCTACGCTCGCCTCCCTCTGCTGCAGGTAATGGTAGAGGTTCACACACTAGAAATGTGTTTATCTGGAGCCCCAGGCAAGGAAACTCATCCTGCTCCTCGCTGGGGAAAGATCCACTGCTGCATAAATACCATTGTACTGGCTGACCAAAAAAAACCCCCAAATACTGAGCACTTAAATGGTAAGAACAACGCATCTTTAAAAATTCCCTGAAGGCTTCTACAACCATCTCCCCTTTTCCCTCTTCCTCTGTAAACGGAGGCACAGTCTCAGCTTAATCACTACAAGGCAACAGGGAAAAATCTTAGATTACCTGATAGCAGAACTTTGTAAAACTTGTAAGTATGAACAGCCTTCCCCACCCCTGGCAGGACTGTTCTGGCACGGTCCCTTAAGGACTACTGCATGGACAACTTGTCCTGTCTGAGTTGCAGGCATGTAAAAATAAATATTTCAAGGTCAAATACTCAAGGAAGAAAAAAAAAGTGTATTTATTTAGCACAACCCAAATTGACACTTAATTTTTGTAATACTTAAATACCAATCAAGATTTTTTTTCTGCATGCTTCGCAAGCTTTAGAAGGCAGTGACTCTTGGTTTGGTAAACACCGTTCGATAGACAGGGAGCATTTAACTCACAGGTGCCCAGAGAAAACAGCCTCCAAGCAAGCCCCATCTGGGAAGACCTGAACACCAAGCCCAGGCAGTACCATGGGGAGCCGGTCTCTGTCACCATACAGGTGACAAGCGCAGCTCCCGCCGGGTGTCAACAGCCCACGATGGCCACGTCAGGCTGCAGCCGGGGACCGGACCGACAGACAGAACAGACCTTCACTTCCAACTCACTGTTCTGCCAATACCTTTGCTTTTGCCGGGGAAGGGACACCAATACCCTGACACCTACAGCAGCGAGCGCCACATCGTTTCCATCTGACAGCCCGTCCCTGCCCTGTAGCTCCTCCAGCTCAAACACCACCCAAAGCCCCTGCTGGGCCCCCACTGCCCAGCGCGCCTGCAGGGCACAGCTCCACGGCACCCCTGCCCGGTGGCAGCAGCCTGGGGAAGAAAAAAGCCAGCCAGCAACATGAGTTGTTTGAAGGAACAACTTTCTTTTTTTAATAAAGTGTACAAAGTAGTAAAACTCCTTACACGAGGTGCTGTGACAGCTGTTACAGAGATGATTCGGGCTCCCCCATGGGCCTCATGGTGAAATGCCGATGAGCGTTGGGTGGAGACGAAGGACATGAACACGACACAGACCCACCTGCCCCTACCAGCTCCCGTGAACCTGCCCTCCCCGTCCCACACTGCGCTCCCGGCCGGCCCCCGCCACTTCGCCTGCCTGGCCCTTTCGCCGTCCTGCACCGCGGCATCCCACACGCGTTCAACACGAATAACACACTGAACCGAGCGACCTGTCTGAGCGGCATGCATACAGAAAGGAAGAGTAAAAATACAACCCGACCGAACCCACAACAACAACAGAATTTTAAGGCTATGCATAAAACAAAATGAAGCAATATCTTTAAAGCTAGGTAGCAAGTAGCATTTGTGAAACATAAGGCTTCAGGCTTATTGATTCTTCAGAACAGGTTTATTTGCTTTTCCTTCTTAAACACCAATGTACCATTTTTCTTCCTTCGCTTGAACAGGGACTTTGTTTCCTTCTTGGCAGGGACATTTAACTCAGTGAGGTTATGTTGGAGCGGCCTCCTGGGGGCGCAACAATGCGCTTGCTTGCGGAGCGAACACCTTCATCGATCTGGGTACCTGGGAGAGGACGAGAAAGCACAAAGAGAAGGGGGAAGGCAAAGTTAAGACCATTTTCTTCACAGGACTGAGCAGTCAGGCAGCCTGGGGTCTTGCCGAAGGGCCTGCTGAGACTGTCTACAGCAACCTGCTCCCTCTCCAACTCCAGTAACGACCCTGAGAGCAGCAGTGGCTTGAACATCTCTGTAGATGCTCCTCCGTGAACAGACCCACGCAGCAACAGCAGGGTCTGATGCTGTGCCGGCACCTCCACTGCCACAGTCTGCCTTGCTTCTACTGCAAGGTGCAGCAGGGTGGGGGGCCAGCTCCAGCCATATCCTTTAAGGGACACACTGGCTCTCACCCTGCCATGCTCCATTCTTGTGCTCAGCTTGCCCCAGGCCATCTCCCAGCTGC